AAAGAGATTTGATACAAGCTAGGTACTAAAACCTTCACTTTGATTCTTGTTAACTCTGTGACACCACCATGGGTTATAATTGATGTACATAAATATATATATATATATATATATAGCACAAAATTACAAAATTAATTAATGAGTGAGAGAATCCATACCGGATTTTGAAAGGCTCTATCTTTTGGTCCGGTGAGCGTTGTAAAGGAGTGTCTCTTATTTGGGGTTAACCAGTTCATATTGTTGTTAGCGTTGTAAAGGAGTGTCTCTTATTTGTCTGACACCATGTTTGTGTTATCTTGTAAAAGGAAAAGGGAAAGAGTCTGAGGATGATCATCTTGAAGAAGATGATGGTGGTTATATATGGTTATGGTTATGATGATGAAGATGAGTGTTATTATTGCTGTTGCATGCGAAAGATGAATCTGATTCGTTAATTAATATTATATTCTCGTTGAGCCCCCTCGAAGAACCTATATATAGTTGAAAAACCAGACTAAACTGGAATTCAAAATGTGAAATATTTGATTCCCCTTCAAGAAACAAAAATGATTTATTGATAAACACTCAGAAAAAAACATCTATACTAAATGAAAAAAGTAGTTTGAGATTCTTAAAGCCATACACATCAGATTTTTTAATCTACTCTCTCCTTTTGCCACATCAATAAGAAAGCATTGATAAAAAATTCACTTTACATCTTTTAAAAAACACACATAAAATAAATAAATAAAACCACTAAAACTAATATAGTTATTAACAAAAATTATATAAAATTAAAATATCATTTTTGAATCAGTAAAATAATTATTATTTAAATCTATAGAATTAATATATACTCCTTTTCTTTCTAATATAATGAGTATTTTGGAAAAGAAATTGCTCTCAGAAACTTAAATAATAGTTAATAGATAAAAAGTTACAAAATAGTAATTTAAAAAAAAATTAAAACATTCACAACTTAGAAAAATCTAAAACGTTCATCTTCTAGAAACATAAAGATTATATACATAAAAATAAATACATAAAATTTAGAAATTAACATAACTGTATTTCACATACATAGATACAAAGTTGTCTTTTGCCTCTACAATGACTAGCATAACTCTATTTTAAACATTGATATATTATATTTCTATATTTCAAATATAACATATAAATTTTTATGTAAAAGAAAATGTTAGAAAAACATCTCTGACCATCTATATCAATAAAAAAAGAAATTTCTTACAAACACAACATGTAAGGATAGCTAACATGATTTTTTTTTTGGGTTAAAAAACTCTTTTAATATCATATAATATATATGATTAATTTAATTATAAAGGCTCATCAAAATATATGTGTAGTGAAAGAAAAATATCTAAGTTAAATTACAAGTCAAATGTAAATGAACCTTTTAAACCTTTTGAGTTTTTAGAAAATAAGTTAGTATGAAACTGTATTTGTGTATGTTTTACTTGCTTTATTCATCTACACTTCTATAGTTTACAGATTCTTTAGAGACCAAATCAAAATTGCAGTTTATCATTATGATAGTGATTTTGTATACTATGTAAATGTTATTTTTATTTATATAAACAATAGTTCTTTTATGGATTTGTATATTGATTTTTGTTTTGTATTTAATTTAAGACTGCTAATTAAATAAAAATACTATACAAACACAATAATCATATGCTTTAGTTGTACTAATATATTTGATAAGATATTTTCTTTTTATTTAAAATGATAAATAAAAAACTTGTTTTTAAATTAATTAAAAACAAAACTTATATTTGTTGAATTCAATTATATATCAAATTTAATAACTTTTTTTTTAAATATTTTAAAAGTTGGTAAACAACAATGAGCGTATATACATATATTGTTGGGACCCATTTTACTGGGTCGAGAGAGAGCCTGCCACATAGGCCTAGACTGCGCCAATTGGCAAAAAAAACCAAACCGAACCAAACCGACCGAACTCAAACCGACCCAAACCGAACCATAGCTTATACCAAAATATTTCGATTAGAGTTTTTGTCAACCCGAATAGTTCGGTTCGGTTTGGTTTTAAACCGAACTTAACTGAAATCTAATATGTTTATTAATTAATTAATAATATCGAATTAATATTAATGATAAGTTCTTATAATTAACTAATATCAAATTTTATAATTATATTTTCATATTTATTTAAAGAATTTATTTAAATTATTATATTTACATCTTTATATTGCTCGATTTGTTAATATTATTAATTATTTATTTTATATTTTATAAATTAATTTTTGTTAACCAATTTAAAAACCAAACTGAACCGAAGTAAACCGAACCATACATAAACCGAACCGAACACAAACCAAACCAAATTACCATTGGTTGAGTTCAGTTTGAATATTTATAGAACTGAATTAACCGAACTGAACCAAACCCGAACCGAACCCGAACTTAAACTGAAATGCCCACCCTTAGCGTCAAACACTGACACACGCCACACTAGCTAGGCTGACCCACTCCCGCGCACTGTTCCAGAGTAGTTGGCGAACTTCCCCAGACACGCTAGAAACATTACCCTCATGAGCTCTCCTAGCACGCCGGATGGAGAAGACATGACAAGGAGGCCACAAGTATAAATAAGAAGAGATCACCATGCAGAAGGAAGGAGGTCGGATCGGAAAAAACCCCTCGATAGGAGGAGGTAACCACCGGTTCGGTTTGGGCAAACAGCACGATCACAGGTGAACTCCATATTCTTCATGGGTGAATGCCATCCAGGTTAAGCCACTCCTAACCCAGAATCTTGCCTTCATATTCGCTCTGTCTTCTTTTATCGTATAGAAACCCTTTCAAAACATCCGAAAACAGATAGAAACCTCGATCCCTGGACTAGACTTCTCACACTAACCCGTAGAAATCTCCCTTCATGAGTACTTGTTCCCGGTATGATGTCCACTGAATTAGGCGAAGGACGAATTATACACCCCCACGTGACATCCCGAAATTTGCTTCCGAACAAATATTAAGTTTTAGATTAACAATGAATTTTCACTTATATCAAGTTAGTATATATTTAAATTAAATCATAATATTTTTTTTTGAATACGTTAAAATCTTTTTGATGTATAACCGCATCAAAACTATATTGAAAATCAAATATTATATTTAAAATTAAAATAATTAATTAAAATAATAATTCAATAAGTATAAAAATAATCTACGCTAAAAATCCCTAGTATTAATAATACTTTTCATTGAAGTCTTGTAAGCAATTACACGTATTATATATTAATCAAAATACACTTATTTAAATCATATACATATAAAGATCAAACAGTAATTTCTCAAAAGAATGTAGCTTCTATCTTCTTTCTCTTAAAAACATATTAAATTTATGGTTTTGAATAATGAATGGTTGCCTACAGAAAATCAAAATGTGCTAACTACCATATCCAAAAACTATAGGAACGAAAGCCAAAAAAAAAAAAAAAACATCACAAACTTCGGATATAAGCTTTTCGTCTTTTTCACGATGTTGGCAAAAAATGTCGGATATAAAAAATTTAGAATATGCATATTTATCTTTTTTTCTCTATAATTTTTTTTTTGATGTAGAAAAATATTTTTATTTAATCAAATATAAAATTCTATTAAATAATAAGATAATCGTAAAATTTCCAGTGTATAAAAAAACTTCTTAAAATCTTATGTAAATAATATTTCTATGAAAGTCTTATATTAATATTATTTTATATCAAAATTTTAGTTTAAGATTGTTTTCTATAGAAATCTACCCTATTTGGCTTTGCTTCAGAAAAGGGCAAACTCAGCACGTATTATATTATCGATCAATTTTTAAATATTTAAATGTTCAATCAACAGCGGATCTATTCATCCATAGATATATAAACATATAAATAAGAGCAAACAAATGCTTACACATGTATAAAAATATTTTCCACCAAAGTCTTATTTTAACATTAATTTCTGTAGAAATCTACCCTATTTGGCTTTGCTTTATTATAAATTTTTTTATCATAAATCCTACCAAAAAACATTTTCAACTTTCAGTTATATAAGAACAAAAGATTAAAAAACTTTGTGTACATAGATTTTTAACAATAAAAAAGTTGTCAAATATTTTTTATGTCAAACCAAAATCTTACCAACAAACTAAGATAAAAAACATTCAAACATTTTGTGAATCTTAAAAGACTTAGATGTGAACTATGGTTTTTTTTCTAAATAATCTTACACGCTTAAATCTTTATTTATCTACACTTACTTTTTTTTAATCGTCTGAATGTAAGTTATGGAAACAATTACAAGGATAATATTTAACGGATATGTGGGTGCACCATGAATAACTCTAACTGTCTGTCCTTTCTTTATCTGAATATCTCCATTAACCTGTAGAAATCGCATCTTCTAGAAATCGAAACCCAGACCTCCTAGTGTAGAACCATTAATGAACCTTTAGTCGACCATTAGACTAAGGGGCTTCCACCATCTACACTTACTTAGTTTACATTTAATTTGAGACTGAAATCGCACAGTTTCAAAAACATTACACATCAATATAATTAAACGAACATGCATGGTTTTTATCAATACTTTAACTGACATAGAGCTTATTAACCTCAGCCAAAATGACAATTACTAATGGGACCGTCTAATGAGTCTAGCCTATAGAAAGCTTGAAAACAAATAGAGCCTTCTAATTGTATAAAACATTTCATGTAACAAAAAAAACTTTAACACCTCAAACTCTGTCTCAATCTAAGCAATAAAAACATAAGAACAACCTTTTAGTAAAAAAAAAAAAATCCAGACTTTATTTATTTGTTTTATCTTAATTTATAATAGAGTCTTAACTCTTACAAACTTCAAAGCACGAACCATAAAAAAGAAACATGGATGTTCCCTAAAAGATAGAAACATAAATCCAGTGTGTTATTTGCCAAAGCATAAATAAAAAGGATTAAAGACATAGTATTGATGGTACTTTACGTTGGGTCCTCCTATGCATTTGGGCCTCCAGTACTCTCTTCTTCTACAGTGTTATCACCCTGCACTATAACGCCTCCTTCGATCTTATGAAATACAGCAACAGATGTATAATACACAATTGTTCCATCTGTTTGATATATTCCTAAGAACTTACCATCACATATTATATGCATTTCATCTTTCAACATGCTTAAACAAAACGTTTTATTCGAGTCGAGTTGGATCGAGGAATCTTCAATGCCATTATTCTTGCCAAGAGCATCATTAATATTGATATTGGGAATATTATACTTCAGCAGATATTCTTGATCTTCATGCTCTATATTAAAAATCTTTGCGTACTCCTCAGTAGTAAGATGCATGTTGATTTGCTGAGACGCACCATCTTGAATATCGAACGACTTATATCCAATAGTTAAATGAACACTATTACCAGAATTATTGTAAACACTCTCTAAAATTGGAGCCATTTGTTGTATATGTATAGAAATGTTTCAAATATATATTTGATCAAGATATTTTAAATTTGTTGTTGTGAGAAATGATGAAAGAGCCTTCTTCTTATATAGATTCTTATTTTAGTCTAACATGAAAATTTTAGATGATTGAGTGTGTGAAATGCAATCAAAATCAATATTAAATGTATTATTAGAATAGAATGGTTTACGTATTGGAATGATGTAACACATCATTACATCATAAATATACATGATTATATTAATAATACTTTTCATTGAAATCTTCCAAGTAACTATCGCTTCGCTCTGGATAAGGCCAAGTTAGTTTCATGTTATATATTAATCAACATGCATTTATTTAAATCATATACATATGAAGATCAAACAATAATTTCTCAAAGGAAAATACTCCCTCTGTTTTTTAAAGTAAGATATTTTAGGTTTTTTTTGTTTTTAAAAGTTTGATGTTCTAGATTTTATTTAATATATTTAGTTTTATAAATAACTTTTTACCAATTAAAAAAGAAAAGTAATGTTAAGATAATAATAATAAAATAAAAAGTAGTTAAAAGTAAAGAGAAAAATAATTATAAAATTATATCTTAAAATGTATGCAAATCCTAAAACATCATATTTTAAAAAACAGAGGGAGTAGCTTATATCCTCTTTTTCTTAAACATGTGTTAAATGAAAAGTTGCCTACAAAAAAAAATCAGAATGCACACAACTAATAGATATGGACAAAGTAGATCAGTAATCGAAACATTCTTAATATAAACCATGTGCTCAAAAGAGGAGATCACGGAGATTTGGTTGCTCAAAAAAACGCATATAATTAACTGAATTACATACTGTCTTACCAATCACTTTTACCAAATTGATCATTAGTTATATACTCGGGACGTCTTATATTCTGCTCCTACCAAATGTGATTATTGTTCAGATCGAAAGCTAAACTGAGTATAATATAAGAATTTACATAAAACGTGAAAAGATGAAGGGTGGTCTCACAATCACTATTGGGCGTAGTTGTAGCAGATTACAAATAACGTCCTCTAACTTATAAAAGTATCCATTTGAAGTATCAAAATGAAGAAAATAATGAATTATCTTGCATAAATTAATCTAGAAACATGCAAATTTCTAAATGACCAACAACGTCTATTAATTTTTTACTGTGTTCTTGCCTGCTTTCTTACTTAATGTCTTTATTGAGCATATATATACCCTTTCAAACCCTCTTTTGTCTTAACTTTAGTCTTATCTAATAGATTTGTAGTGAATGTTTTAATCTATTTGGACTGACGTCTAAGTACTATAACATCAATATTGATGCATGATTTCTTTTGTTAACTTTATAACAAAAGTCTTATTTTTTTAAAAAAAAATCATTGTCTTATTGATATCGGTTTGGAATAGATTATATCATAAAAGAGATGATAAATAAAATACCAAAAGAAACCAACGATCTTTTTGGCACATAAAACAAGTTTTTTCATGACACACTGGAGATATAAATACAGTCTTGTTTGAATTCTTTCAAAAGTTATTAAGATGAATTCCTTTACCACACTAGCAGGCGGACATTTTATTCTTTCTGTGACAACACAATAACAATACTCATGATTAAGATTCATTTCATACTTTGATCATTTTCGTCAAATTTATTTCGCAAGAGTTAACTTCTATAAAGCCCGCTATAAGGATTGTCAAACAAAGTGAATCTGTAAAATGTAATCAATATATATATATATATATATATACAAAATTGACAAAAAAAAATAAACATCTCTAATAACTATAAATTGACTACGAGCAAAGAAACTACAAAGATAAAATTTCTTCTTAAGAAGGGGAAAAAATATACTCAAACAAAAGACTCACACAAAGTCATAAAACTGAACTGTGCCACCTATCATATCCAAAAATTATATAAAAAAAAAGCTAAAGAAAAAAAAATCCCAACTCTGAGATATACACTATTCTTCTTTTTCACGATGTTAACAAGGAACGCCAAACATTAGAGAGGTAGAATATGCATATTTCTCTTTTTTATTCTATAATCTTGTTTTTAAATAGCAAAATGTTTTTTTAATCAAATATAAAATTAAAGAATCATAACTCTCCCGCTTATAAAAAAACTGCTTAAAGTCTTATGTAAACAATATTTTCTATGAAAATCTTATATTAATAGTATTTTCTACCAAAGTTTTATTTTAATATTAATTCTTACAGAAGTCTACCCCATTTAGTTTTGCTTCAAAAAAGGGCAAACTCATCTCATGATAAATTACCAATCAATTTTTAAATATTAAAATGTTCAATCAGCGGATATATTCATCGATAGATATATACACATATAAAAAAGAGCAAACATATACTTACATATATATATAAATATTTTCTATGAAAGTCTTCTATTAATAATATTTTTTACCAAAAACTTATTTTAATATTAATTCCTACAGAAGTTGACTTTGCTTCAGAATAAGACAAACTTATCTCATGATATATTATCGATCAATTTTTTAATATTTAAATGTTCAATTAGCAGATCTATTCATCGATAAATATATACATATATAGAAAAGAACAAATATATACTTACACATATATCAAATTATTTTCTATGATAATTTTATATTCATAGTATTTTCTACCAAAGATCTTATTTTAATATTAGTTTCTACAGAAGTCTATCAAATTTGGCTTTGCTTCAGAATAGAGCAAGCTCATCGCATGATGTAATATCGACTAATTTTTAAATATTTAAATGTTTAATCAGCTGATCTATTCATCGATAGATATACACATATAAAAAAAGAGTAAACATATACTTACACTAACTTTGTTAAACAATAATTAAGCTAATTCGTTTTAACATAATGTATTCAAGAGTGAGGATTAGAGCAGGTTTATGGCCAATTTAAGGATTAAAGTTGATATTTTTGATAATGAATCCTACCCAATTTTTTTTTCAACTTTCAATTAGATAAGAATAAAGATTTAAAAAACTTTGTGTAAATAGATTTTTAACAATAAAAATTTTGTCAAATAAGTTTTATGTCAAACAAAATTTTTACCAACGGCAAGCTCATCGCATGATGTATTATCAATCAATTTTTAAAAATTTAAATATTCAATCAGCGGATCGATTCATCGATAGATATATACACATATGAAAAAGAGCAAACATATATCTACACATATATAAAGTAATTGAATTTGAAAGTCTTATATTAATATTTTCTACCAAAGTCTTATTTTAACATTAATTCCTACAAAAATCTACCTCATTTGACTTTGCTTCAGAAAGAGGCAAGGTCATCTCATGATATATTATCGATCAATTTATAAATATTTAGATGTTCAATCAGCGGATCTATTCATCATAGATATATACACATATAAAAACAGAAAACATAAACTTACACTAATTTTGAAACAATAATTAAGGTTTTTTGTTTCAAAATAATGTTATAAAGAGTGTGGAGTAGAGCAGGTTTATGGCCAATTTAAGGATTAAAAGTTCATATTTTTTAAGGATAATTTTTGAAATAATCCACTTGACAATTTTGTTACACATAAAAACATTTTTGACTGCAAAATACACATAAAATAAATAAATAGAACCATTAAAATAATATAGTTATTAACAAAAATTAAATAAAATTAAAATATCATTTTTGAATCACTAAAATAAACATTATTTAAATCTATAGCATTAATATATACTATTTTACTTTCTAATATAATGAGCATTTTTGGAAACTAAATTGCTTCAAAAAACTTAAATAATAATTAATAGATAAAAGGTTAAAAAAATAGTAATTCCTAAAAAAATATTTAAACATTCAAAATTTATAAAAATCTAAAATATTCATCTTTTAGAAACATTAAGATTATATACATAACAAGTAAATAAATACAGTTTTAAAATTATCACAACTGTAATTCACATACGTGAATACAAAATTGTCTATTTTCTCTAAAAATATAAACTTATAAGACTTTATTATAGATTACTTATTACAAAAACATATACAATACATTTACAGAAAATAGACTAGCATAACTCTATTTTAAAAATTAATATATTATATTTCTATAATTAAAATATAATATATAAATTATTATGAAAAGAAACTAAATGAAAGGAGAATTTTGGGGCTCCTAAAGCCATCCACATCAGATTTTTAAAACTACTCTCTCTTTTTGCCACATCAGCAAGAAAGCATTGATAAAAAATTCACTTTAGATTTTTTTAAAATACACATAAAATAAATAAATAGAACCGCCAAAACTAATATAGTTATTATCAAAAACTAACTAAAATTAAAATATCATTTTTGAATTAATAAAATAAACATTATTTAAATCTATAACATTAATATAAACTCTTTTTATTTCTAATATAATGAGTATTTTCGAAAACAAATTGCTTTCAAAAAAACTTAAATAATAGTTAATAGATAGAAGGCTACAAAATAGTAATTTCTACAAACAAAAATTAAACATTCAAAATGTAGGAAAATCTAAAACATTAATCTTTCAGAAACATAAAGATTGTATACATAACAAATAAATAAATAAAATTTTGAAATTAACACAACTGTATTTTCCATACATGGATACAAAATTTTCTATTGTCTCTACAAAGATAAACTTATAAGAGCCGACTTGTATGGAGGTGGTGTAATTTTGGAACTCGGGGATAGAACAAAGAGATACGGTATGTTCACTAATACAAGAGTTATCTCACCTTTCCATGCAGAGTTTCACAAACTACTCTGGAGTATGCGGGAAGCCCTAAAGCAAGGACTAAAGACCATGCGATTCGAATCAGACTGCCAGCAATTGGTGAACCTCCTGGAAGAAGAAGCTCAATGGCCAGCCTTGATGTCGGAAAGTGAAGAATTTAAAAATCTCTATATGTATTTTATTCAAACCTCTGTTTCCAATATTCTGCATGAAATGTAATTATTTACATTTAAACGAAAGGAGACAAATAA